AAGCCTGTGAAATTATATCTTCTGCTGCATCACACGAGTCAATGGTTAACTGGATGCGATCTATAATTACCACTCTCTCTAAGAATATCGTCATCTCCCGCCTCGAGAAAAGGTCGAACCACACCGTTTGCGAACAGTCTACCACTCTTAGAACAAGAATTTATCGCCTAAGATAAACACAGAAGCATACCCAGATCACTGTTTCAAACAGAATGAGAAAAAAAGAAAGATCTGAGATCACTAAAGCCATTTTCTTTTTACTGCGGTTTCCCGTGAACCACGCAAACACAAAGAAAGGAAACTCTTAACGCTGCACCAAGAAAATATGAAATGAAACATCATTTAATTTAAGAAAAACATGACACAAAGGCAGCATTTGCAGACACCTAGCATCCAAAGAAACAAAACTCATAGTCGAAATTAGTAAACCAAAAGGACAGGCTATACCCACATCAGCATTTTGACTAAAACCACATTAACGAGAGGAGATCTATGCAGACAAGTAGACATTTGAAGCTTAAAAGACAGGAGAACTCCAATTTTATGGAGCATTACAATTTGGGGAATTTCTTTTGGCGATATTTTTTCAGTAAGCAAATAAAGAAAAAAGGAAAGAGGAAAACAGGCAGTACAACCAAAGCTAAGCTAAATCAAGTAGGGCAATCTACCATTTGAAGAAGAATTAGCCAAAATAGGCCTTTACCCATGAACAGCAAAGCTCCAACAAGACAAAGACACAGCTCAAATCGAGAGCAAAGAAGACTTATATCAGCCAGCATTTAGCAAGAGAAGGAGAAAGATCTGAGAAGAAAACAAAAAATAAGAGAGAGAGAGAGAGAGATTTCGGTTGAGAACGGACTTAAATTACCTGAAAGCGTAAGAGACTGTAGTGATGTGGAAGAAGAAGAAGAAGAAGAAGAATTTGGGAGATTTGGAGACATTTTACTGACCAAAACCCCACACCTCTTCTTCTTCCCTGAAGATTTATATGTGAGTTAAGCTTAATCTCAAGATTAATAATTAATACTAATTTAAATTAATATTAATATCATTTAATAAAGTAATTTAATTTTTTTTCTTTTGGTGTCACTTCACAGAGCCGCATAACTGGTGGAAGTGGTGGGTTGTCGCCTCTCCAAACCAATTTATTTAAGTAATTAATATATTTATACAGCAATTTTATTCAT